ATGCTATAGAGTAATGCACATTTAGTAAGAGCAAAAATAAGAACAACAGAAGTTACATTAGGAGTGAAGGCTACACTGACAAGTTTATATCCGGAGGCTCTTAAAAGGTGGGAAGGATTTTAGTAAGAGGTAATCATCGAGGAATGGAAAGGAGAGTTGAAATAACTGGCAGGAGATATGCCAGATTTGAGGACAAACCAAGAATCCATTTGATCTGAGCATTGTATAGTATGTGGAGAGCATCATTCTAAATTTGGGTTGAGAACATATCACAAAGAGATTTAATTCCCAGGCTAAGGCAAATGGACTTCTTCAAGGAGCAAATGTTTAGAGGGCCAAGGGGTAAAGGTTTAGAAATATAAGACTGACATATAAGAACAACACTTAAAAAAATTACTGCTTTTGAAATGAAGCAAGGGAACCTGATTATTAACTCATGGCTAAACAGAATAGTCTAGACATGAAATAAAAGGACTGGATTTAAGGTTATGGTAACAGGAATAGAAAGGAAAAATAAAACAGGGCAAATTTTGGAGTTATCCAAGAAAAGGACCTTAAATTAAGGGTTTTACCACAAAGGGTATCAGAAAATTCACTGATACACCAACTTATGTCTATGCCTAGATACTTATCCTAAACTATTTCTCCCTCCCACCTACTTAAAATCATTTTCCTTGTGAGAAGTATCCTTTGCTTTGCAGTCTGAAGCTCAGACTTATTTCCTACCTCTGCAATGACTCAGGAAATAACCTTGGAGAAGAAGTCATGACCTTGCTGAACCCCATTTGCTTTTGAGTGCTCTGCAGGGAGAATGTGGGACATAACTAACCAAAATGATGGCCAAGAAAAGCCAAGTGGCTTGGCGCTCCTACATCAATACGGAGCGGTTCAGCAGAGTGGAAAGGTGGATCCCATCCCAACAGAGCAGCCAGCCAGCCAGGGCCACATGACACAGAGCCAAAGCAAATGCCACCCAAAAACATGCTGCTTGTAATATTACAATCCTTCCCTCTCTCTCACTGTTCCAGGTTTCTCTTTTGAATCAATTTCATAGCAGTCAGACCCCTTTAATTTCAGACCGATCTCCAATGTTCACATTCCACAGCCACCTTTCCCAACAAACTGTGAATAAAACAATATCCAGAGTGAAAAGCCTTTCATCCATGATGTCTCTCCACTGGCATCATGAGATTTGTGTCAAAACACTGGCACTTATTCTGTAACTACTGTCATTCAAAGAAATGATTTCAAATAAGCAATTCCTAAAAGTGATAAAAACTTAAAATTCCTATTTTAAGAGGTAAATCTTAATATGTCTTGATTTTCCAATGTTTTCTATAGGGAATAGGAGAATTTTAAAAATTCTGTATTTTATCAGGAGTGCCCGGCTGACTCAGTCAGTGGAACATGCAACTCTTGATCCTGGGGTTGTGAGCTAGAGTCCCACGCTGGATGTAGAGATTACTTAAAAATAAAATCTTTTTTAAAAATTCTATATCTTATCAATTCTAAATTTGCTAAACTTGAAATTCTGAATTTTATTAATAAGAAAACTTAACGAGCAAAAGTAAATAGGCATTTATCTCCAAAGACACATAACAAATCTGGTCAACTATATAACAAAATTAAAAATGTGCTTCCTAACTCTTTTTAGAATAAAATATATTAGTTATCATCCATTTCCAGCCTTTCAAACTAAATCAACACTGAGACCCCTCCCAGTATAGAGCATCTAAAAATGCTCGACCAAATATAAAAAAATATCTTTTAGAAATCATGGCTTATCTACCAGAAAGTAAAAGAAACAACTGGAGGCAAAAAACAATGGCAACAAGAAAGAGTGAATCTACAGGGTCAGTAAGCCCTGGGGCTTAGGCCCACCCTGAGAGACCTTAGGGCCTGGATTTAGAATGACCATCCGAACCCTAGGGACAGGAGACCAACTCTAGGGATATGGGGGAAAGGGTATAAATGAAAAGACATCCCTTGAAATGAAATTAGGATACTCTAAACACAGCATACTGAGTTGGTCAACTAGGAAATAAGACACCCTACGGAGAAAGTAGGGATAAGTGCCTCTCTAGGCCTTGCCTCTAAATATAAAGCCATAAGAAAAAAAGAATCTCGAAAGATATTTCTGACTATAAACCTGCAATTAAGTTTGAGGCTGGAATTCACATTATCTCTATGGTCTAGAAATCCTGAAGTCAAAAATGTAACGTAAAATGGTCCTGACCTTCTACGAATGTCTTGCCACCCGACCCTCAAAATGAAAGAGATATAGATATAAAATGACAAAACTATACTTCATCAAGCTTCTGGATCCAACGACCAATTTAAAGGAAATACAGAAGACAAAAGAGCATGCTAAATGACACCACAGGGAAATAAGCATCATGATCTAGACTATGGCAATTTCTATAGTGCAAATGTAGCAGATTTTTTTTTTTTTTTAGAGAGAGAGAGAGAGAGCAGGGGGGGCAGTGGGAGAGGGAGAGAGACAGCCCTCAAGCAGACTCCCTGCTGAGCACAGAGCCAGACACAGGGCTGGATCCCAGGACCCCTAGATCTTGACCAGAGCCAAAATCAAGAGTTGGACATTTAACTGACTGAGCCACCCGGGTGTCCCCAAATGTGGCAGATTTTATTTTCCAAAAACGACTGGAAAAATATCTCCTATCCTGCATATTTTTCTTCAAGTGTAAAATTGCCATTCCTCCATCAAACAATGGAGCCCTTCCCCACCCCATTCAATGGAGGCTGGGCCTGGACCTATTTTGATCAATCGATGATAGCAAAATAAAGAATAGAGCTGTGCCAGTAGCAGGTGTAACCATGAAATGGTCTTGCATCTTTCACTCTTAATTCTGGGAAGTCAGTTTCCATGTGCCAAGTACAAATAGCTCAAGGTTGCCATGCTGCAAGAAGCCTAACCCACATCAAAAGGCTCTGAAGGAGGATATGCCATGTGGTGAAAGAGAAGTTGGACAGACAAACAGACACACCAAGGAATCAAGGTACTAGGTATGTGAGACATGGAAGTGAGTGAAGAAGCCGTACTGGACAATCAGCCTAGTCAACCCTTCAGATGACACTAACTGCAACTGCAGGAGAGACGTCAAGCAAGAAGTATCCACCTGAACCCTGTCAACCCAAAGAAACATAATAAATAATTGTTGTTGTCACCTGTTATATCGCAAAAGATAAACTGAAAAACAACCTGGTTGTCTTCAACAAATAAATATCTAGGGAAACCAAACAGACTGATGGTGGTGGGTGGGGAGGAGAAAACTTACGGACTAAAAGTTTATAAAAGATTTAAGATAACAATATTTGAAAGTTAACTGGAATCCTGATTTAATCAAATAAACTATATTTTTAAAGTTTATTATATAGTTTTACAAACATGTTTGATCATTCAAAGAAAAGATAATTGGCATGTTACACATAATAAAGAAAATATTATATTCTATTTCAGAGAATGGAATAGAAGTGGAATAGGAGGATAAAAAAAAATAAAAAAAATAAAATAAATAAATTAAAAAAAAAAAAAAGAAGTGGAATAGGAGGAGAAACACTACCAGCTCATTTTATAAGGATAATATATTCCTGATACCAAAATCCGACAGGGACACTGTAAGAAAGAAAATGCACAGGCCAATGTCACTCTTAAAAGAGATGCAAAAATCCAAAATATATACATATATAATATACTCTGTATATTATATAATTATGTAATAATTATACATAAAGATATAAAAACCATGTATAAAAGAAACTATATTCTACCAGGTTGCAAGGTTGGTTCAAGAACAGAAAATCTATTACTGTAACTCACCAAGTCAACAGATTAAAAACAAACATGCTTTTATCTCAATAGTCTCAGAAAAAGTATTTGTCATTGTCTTCATTAAGGACAGTTACCACATTAAAATCAGATGTAGGATGACACTGGCTGAGTGGTGAACAGTTTATATTGCCCTCTTTGGTGGTGAAGGAAATATGATCTCAACTTTTTCAGATTTAAATGAGGTCTTCCTAAAGTATTATATTGAGGACATGTGTCAACACAAAGCAATCTGTGACTCTGCCAAGTCAGAAAGAATATTAGCTATAATCTAACTCTTGATAAAACCGTCTTGGTTTTCTCAATGAGATACCACCTCACACCACTCAGTATGGCTAAAATTAACAAGCCAGGAAACGACAGATGTTGGAGAAGATATGAAGAAAGGGGAACCCTCCTACACTGTTGGTGGGAATGCAAGCGGGTGCAGTAGGGAGATTCCTCAAAAAGTTGAAAATAGAGCTACCCTATTACCCAGCAATTGCACTACTGGGTATTTACCCTAAAGATACAAATGTAGTGATCCGAAGGGCTACGTGCACCCCAATGTTCATAGCAGCAATGTTCACAACAGCCAAACTGTGGAAAGAGCCGAGATGTCCATCAACAGACGAATGGATAAAGAAGATGTGGTGTATATATATATACACAATGGAATATCATGCAGCCATCAAAAAAAAATGAAATCTTGCCATTTGCAATGACGTGCATAGAACTAGAGGGTATTATGCTAAGCAAAATAAGTCAATCAGAGAAAGACAAGTATCATATGATCTCATTGATACGAGGAATTTGAGAAACAAGACAGAGGATCATAGGGGAAGGGAGGAAAAAATGAAACAAGACGAAACCAGAGAGGGAGACAAACCATAAGAGACTCTTAATCTCAGGAAACAAACTGAGGGTTGCTGGAGTGGAGGGGGGTGGGAGGGATGGGGTGGCTGGGTGATGGACATTGGGGAGGGTATGTGAGCGATGTGAATTGTGTAAGACTGATGAATCACAGACCTGTACCCCTGAAACAAATAATACATTATATGTTAATTAAAAAAATAAAAATTTAAAAAAACTGTCTTAGTTTTGAATAAATTAGTATTTTCAAGTACTATAAAGAAAGTAGAAGGCAATGATAACCACTGTTATGAACATTTACCTTGAGTTTATGTTCTTTCCTGTTCACGATCACAGCTGTGATTTGCTGGTCCATGAAAATCAGAATGGTAACCAACAAAGCAGGGATAGCAGCTGCAAGGTACACCCACCAGGGGTTTCCTCCAAATGGTGGAACAAACCAACCTCGGTTTGGACTTGTTGGCTTGAAGAAGAGAAAGAACATTTTCAAAGCAATATTAATACATACTATTTGGTGAAAAATCAACGGGAGAGACACAGTTTTATTTCTGGATAGGTTAAACAAAGATTAGTCACCAAAAACTTCCTGAAGGTGGTTATTTTAAGGCAGTATTTTAAATGAAGGAGAGTAAGAATATAGACTGAGGGGAAACAGATAAATGCCATTTTGTGCATTTAGGATGATCTAAGATAAGGACTCAAGCAGGAAGACAGTGATTTACGTTAAGAGGCAGCCAAAAGAAAAACTCAAATATAATAGTAAAGACACAGACAAGAAATTACAAAACAACAATGAATTTTGTCCATGAATTTTGGCAATTATACTGAAGTTATTTCTACTACTGCCAAATTGTAACAGTTTCACATAATATAGAAAAAGCTACAAATATTTTTACATGCTATAATTGAACTTGCTTAACTACTCTGGTTTTTCTTATATATATGAAAAATGAGCCAGAATAACTGGTTAAATCCTCAGAAATATTACCAAAAATAAAAAATACAATTATTTTTCTAGTTTTCCATCTATCCTGTTAGATCATACATCTGTACTACAGAAAAAAAAATATTTTCCTTTCCTTTTCCTAATGCTAAATAATGTAAATAAACCAAAATAGAATCCTATGAATTATTTTCTCTATATTTACTAGTCACTTCTCTGAAGATATTTCTGTCTTCCATCTCCCTTTGCTCATAACTACATCACTGAATCTATTCACATTTTACTACCTTTACCAGGTTGAGAACTTGGAAGGGAAGGAAATTTCTCTTGTTCGTCAGTGCATTTCAAATCCCCTGTAAAGAGCCTCACTCAAAGCAAACATTCAATAAATATTAACTTAAGTGAACTAATCACTGAATGATTGAAAACTTATCTTTGCTAATGAGTATGAGATGGCAGAGATAATGCAACAATCTATTTGCTGTACCATAGATACCCCTTCCTCCTTAAGTAGCTATAATATAAGCTATATATAGCTATATATAAGCTAGAACTGCAGTTAGTTTAATTTTTCTTAGCAAGTATATAGTCTCAGTGATGGAGAGAGAAGCTAGGAGTGTTCTACAAAACAAGTGAAAGACATAATGAAAAATTAGGGAGGGATATGTAAGAATGACTAAAATGTAAATTTTACCCATTAGGCCTGCACAAACCAACAGATTTATAAAATGAGTAATTCCTATATCTTCTTTGTGATAATTAAAATGCACATTACATACAAACGTGTGTGTATATGGCAGGTAGTTTGGTAGCAGGAAAAGAGCACTGAATTAGAAATATAATCTTGGGCATTTTCTTTAAATCTTTATGAGCTCCAACAAACAACTTCATAAAATCAAGATGACGATAGTTACATTACATCCTAGAATTACTATATGGATCAAGGTGATAAGTTGTATGGAAATACTTTGGCTCATCTTAAATTCTCCAAAAATATAAAGCAGAGTTTGTATTTGTCAATAAAAATCAATATAATGTGAACCTTGCATTTGATCCTAATCAGGCATTTGATTTTAGTGAAGAAATAGTGTATACACATGCCTGGCGAAAGACCACCCCTGAAATAAAGAAACAGATAATCATACAAAATGAACTCAAAAACATATAACAAACTCTAACAGGGGAAAGAAAGCCATAGAGTCCCAGGAATGACCAGCAGAAGTTCACTTACCTTGAACTCGCTTGGCACAATTAGTTTTGGAGTATCCACACCTACCAGGGCATCTATTACACAAAAGATGAGAATGGACAAGATAATGGCAAAGTCACTGATCAGTTTTCTTGCCTGAAAAAAAATAAAAAAGAAACCAGGGGCTGCTTAGCACTGGATTAATATATTTGCTTGTGTTGGAAATGAACAAAATATTCTGTATTTGGCTAGTGGTCTACAGTAACAGTGTCACCAGCAAATTAAAGGAGTGTCACACTGCAGAGAGATTATTTTTCACATTGTTTTTGCATCACTTTCTCATCTGGCCAGAACTAATCTAATCACACAGAACAGATCAGTGTGTGTGTGTGTGTGTGTGTGTGTGTGTGTGTGTGTGTGTGTGTG